TTTTAATATTCAAAATAAGAAATAATAAATCTACAAAAGTCAAAATAGTGGCAATTATTGAATAAAATACCATATTATCAAACATACAGTAAATTATAAAATCCACAAAAAATCGTATAATTTATTTTAATCGCATTATTTTGAAAGTTATCAAATTTTGAAAATGAATGTTTTTATACCTAAGATTTTGATATTAATCATAATTACATAACAATTCCTTAGTTAATTGTTACTACCTTTTAAACATTTTGTGCATCTAACTTTTTCTGTCTATACATCTAGGACGTTTTTTTGAAAAGCTTATAGTATGCCAAAAATGCACTTGGCATAATCTTTAAAAAACTCAATGCAAAACTGAAATTCATTATGAGAAATTTGGCATCAAAAATGCGAGCACTGTCCCTGCCAGGCTGAAATTGTTTTCCAAAGTAATTCGAAGTAACTAAATTTACAATAACAATAACAATCGAATAGGTGGTAACAATCGAAATATTCCAATTGATATAAGCACATATTTCTTATTTTTTTTTTTTAAATTTTTGAAAATTTTATTTCTTTTTTTAAAAGTTATCTATAGATTTTTATAATTAATTTTTTTTATATTTCATAATTAAAAGACAAAAGTTATTGAAATTGCATTGGATGTTTTTCTAAATTTAAAAATCAAAAATTTTTCTCTGTAAATTAAGTACTCTACCGTTTCGAAATTCGCGATTAATTTTTCTTTAAATGTATTTCTCAGAGAACTTACAAAATTTCAGCGTTAAAGATTCAAATAATACGAAAAATAAGCAAAGCTGGTCATAATTTCCAACACTTTATATTTTCATACAAATTTGAAATTATTTTTAATTTACACTGGCGTTACGCTATATACAAACATGATATATTTTTTGCCAAAATTCGTAGAGCAACGGTATTCTGTTTATTGATATGACGTCACAAAGTATAAAGCTGTTATTCGAAATCACTCGCAAAAGCTTGGAAAACTGCTAATTTTTCGACAGTGTGGTTTACATGGTCTCCTTTTGGGAAAATTTTTCATTAGCCGCAAAATTAGGCCCCCTCAAATAATGCGCATAATATGAACGATAAATGTAATGCAATTTTACGTAAAACCATGTGAAACATAAAAGTTTTCTTATTCATTACAACTATTGAATCGAATCTCTAATTATTACATTTAATTGAAGTCAGCACAAACAAAATAGTATAAATATACAAGGTCAACAGGTTTAAAAATTTAGGTAATCTTAATATTTCCATAAAAAAGCTCCATTATTTGTAAATTAGATAAAAAACAACTAAACTACAAGTACACAACTATTTACTTCTTCTCGATTGAATCATTTTGAAGGGCACTTAATTGTGAAGGACTTAAAGATTTACAATTAAATAGTATTAAGTAAAAAGTATATAAACAACGATACTATTTAGAATAATCTTGTAAGATTAAACTTGGCCAAAAAATACAACAGAAACATGGAAATTTGTTTTGACCGCCATAATAATCTTTTGCATAATTTGTTTAACAAAGATGAATTAAAATGTAAAAACCAAAATGTTATTTGAAAATTTTTTAGGTCGGCTTTATTTCCATTGCATTTTGCTTTTTTACTTTTTTTCTGGTACAGTTAACAAAACGGTTGATTTCAATTTTATTATCAAGTGTAAAACAAAAACAAAAGTTTTTTTTTTGTTTATGAACAAATTAATTTTTGTTTTCTGCTGATTTTAACTAACGCACTTGATCTAGATTGGATTCCCATAAAAGTTTATATTTGTGGTTACGTCATAGCTTTGTACTCTGCTAACTTCTTAAGTTACTAATACTGCCATATTACTGTTTCTATTTTAGTTCAGCTTAAATTTAAATACAATCGTAATTCTTATTAGTTTTTGAAATTAGTTATAAAGTAATAATGTTATTTAAAAACAATTAGCAACAGAGTTACGTTACTTCATGTGTAAACGCAATATTAATAGCTTATTGAAATTAGTAATTTTAGATTCATAAAAATTTATATTTTACTTTAAATACATATTATTAAAACTTTGAATAATTTTTTTTTATTTATATTTATTAAATTTTTAAAATTTAAAATTTTATACCGTTTTAATACAAATATGTAGGTTTTGTGGAACATAAGACATGGCTACTTGCATATACCAACAAACATAATGTTCAACGTAAAACAAAGCAAGACCAGCACGAGTCCTGAAATTTAGGTTCTATATAGTTGTTTCTAAAAAATTGAGGCAGCAAAATTTTTTTATGTGGAACTCCGGCTAAGTAATTTTTCAATTTTCTGCAATTTCCAATCGTGCTTTTGCCGAAGAATGGGTAAATTGAAGGCGCAAGTATTTCTGTTTGACTTCGAAATTACATTTAAATTTAGGTTTGGTGAAAATTTTGCACAGGATTATAAAAATGCTCTTTAGACAGTTAACAAACCTATTAAAGAAAAAGGTTATAATACTCGTAAAGGTTTCATTTTTGTATTAATTATTTTTTATGAGATAATTATGATAAAAAATTTAAAATTAATTTCTTTAACAGAAATATAGATATTTATCACCACAATACTAGGAACAAGTCGAACTTTTACTTAAGCCTTTTTAAAGCAAACCATCAAAAAAATAATTGTTTAAGAATCTATAATCAATTGCCAAGGGAATTAAAGGATATAGTAAACATAGTGATTTTTAAGAAAGAAATTAAAAAATACATTTTATACAGAAACTAATATCTTGAAACTTTGTTTATTAATTCTGTACAATAATTTTTAACTTTGTTAATATTTCCTTTTGTATTTAATTTTTTTTTTCCTTCTTCACTCCTAGGAGGAGTATAGAGCTAGTGCATGATATCTATCATGCCCTAGTTTCTACAGTCATAGAGAGTTAGCTAGGTAGGTAACTAGCATAAAGTAGTTTTTTTTTATTTATATGAAATATTTCAGTTTATTAATATTTACTGTTTATTTTTCTTAGTCTTTAGTATCGAATATTATGAATATTTGAAAATTGCTTGTATAATATTTATTAGTATTGCATATTAAGTTATATAATATTGAATATAATTTTTATAGTGATCTGAACGGGGTTTAAACCCGAGATCTTTCGGTTAAAGGGCCGGTGCCATAACCACTGCACCAATGATCAGATTTTTGTATTTAATAGCATATAAGAATTTACGATACTGTAAAAAATCGTACTTAGAAAAATTCAAGGAAAAAAAAACACAAAACAACAAAAATATAAAAAATTTATTAAAAAATTTATTAAAAATCTTAAATAAGGGAAGAAGAAAAATGAAAACCCAAATTTTTTTTTATTTATAGAAAAATAATAAGCCAAACAGATGCTTGTGCAACTCTGGCTTTTAAAAATGCAATATTTTCTTTTTTTTTATATTACAATAAATAGATTTTTTGAAATTATTTTTGAATATATTATTAAAATATCAATTTCCAGTTAAAATAGAATTTCACAAAACTTAACTACTAAATATTCAAAACTATTCAAACCAAAACACATTCAATATGTATATATATGTAACTGAATTACAATAATAAAGGAAAAAAAAATCGGTCCCTTGTGAAAGTTCAGTTTCAGCGAACTTTGTTATTCCCGAAAAATTACAGATGCTAATAAAAATATATTATATTTCAAGAAAATTGCTTGATTTATTTTTCAGTATGTATAGGCAAAATTGTAAACTTGGTCCGTAGTAAAAGTGCAGTTTTTAGCACCTGTTTTGTCGTATTTACTACACAGATCCCTAGAAGGAGATCGTATGTCCAGAAGGTCGAACTGTTGACGTACTTTAAAAGTTGATTAAATACAAATTTTCATCGAAATCGGTTCAGTTGAACCGAATCTTGCTAGAAATAGTTTATTTATATATATAATAAAAGCAATATAAAGTACAGCGAACGTGATATAAAATAGCAATATAAATTTTTTAAAAATATTTTTTAAATTAGTGTTACAGCAAGATTAAAATAACGGTACTTACATATGGTTCCATCATCTTTATAATATGTCTCTATGTATGGCATAAGATGATGTAGTACAAAACGATAATATCGTAATTTTCATTTGTGTTGTGCACATGCACAATTACAAAATAAATTTATAAAAACTACTTTACATGAATAAAATTGTTAATATGAAAAATGAAGATAATCTAGGTATCTATAATAATCTATGAACGAATTTGTAACAAAAAAAGGTAAGGAAGAGGAAATAGTTTTAATGATCTTGTATAACATATTCCCCGAAGAAGGGAGTTAACAAATTTATTTTCACGGAATTAAGTTATGTAAAGAATACATCATTCATACAAAAAATGTTTTTCAAACAAGGACTAAACAAAATGTGTGTTCATTATTATTTGAAAACCCGCCAAGTACAAACCGTTATTTTTAGTGAACAGTACTTTCATTCGTATTGTATTATAAATTCATTTAAAATAAAAAACTTACGTAAAGGTATTTTCTTGAACATTTGCAAAATTGCATTGTTTTTTATGTGTACGCAAATTATTGTCCAGTCCAGTAGAATTTACTTCCATAAAATTTGTTATTTTTTTACAGGAGTATTCTATTTTAAAGGTTTCATCACTTCGTAATTTTGTTGGCACAAGAAATTTGTTTGTTGACGTGAAAATCAAAGATAAAAAAATATTTTATTAAATACTTTTGTTTTATTTTAGGCAGTATAAAAAGAATCTTAAAATATCTACCTATTGACATATGTATATACAAACATACATAATATATTAATATTACGATATACACGTACTTTCTTTATAATTTATTTAACATTACTTAGAAAAAGCGCTAAACTTAACTTGTAAGCCTTAATAGCAAAGGTCTTTAATTTCACTTCTAAGTTGTTATTCTTCATATTCAATATTAATGAGTAATTTTAATTATTTTCTAAAGAATTACTAAATAATTTGAAAATATTACAGACATAATTATTATTAAGGCACTCTTATTGTAATATTCAATAATTGTAATAATGTTCTAATTTTGTAAATTAAATTTATTTTCTTTTTTTATATTTATAGCCACCATCTTCTGAATAACTTTGTGGTATTGTTTCAGGTACACTGAAACCAAAACTGCTTCCAATATCGTTACCAAAACTGGTTCCAATACTTGTTGGTGCTTCATAAAATCCGGATGGTCCTGAAGGTCCCGATGGAGATGAGAAGCTATAACCATCAGATCCAAAAGATATACCTGACCCAGTTGAAAAACTCGAAGATGGTCCAGATGGGGCTGACAAAGTGAACGTTGGTGATGAATAACTAAATACAGATGGACCAGAAGGAGCAGATGAAATGGGTATGCCATAACTTGAAGAAGGTGGGGCAGGTGGTGCTGGTGGTGGACCATAGCTTTGTGGTGGTGGAGATGGTGGGGATGGTGGAGGTCCATAACTCTGTGATGGCGGAGAAGGGGGTGGCCCATAACTTTGCGGTGGAGGAGCTGCAGGTGGTGGACCTGTAAAAAATCGTATGTTTGCTCAGAATTTTTTTTTTATAACTCGTTAATGACTTGGAAATTTTTTTGTAGATATATTTCAGCATAAAAATTTTATTTATTGAGAATTTACATATTTACCATAGCTTGGTGAAGGTGGGGCTGGTGGAGCAGGTGGTGGTCCATAGCTTTGTGCGGGTGGAGATGGTGGAGGTCCATAACTTTGTGCTGGAGGAGATGGCGGAGGTGGTGGTGGGCCATAGCTTTGCGGTGGAGGAGCTGGTGGAGGTCCATAACTTTCTGGGGGTGTAGGTGCTGGTTGTGATGGAGGAGGACCATAGGTTTGTGGTGGTTTTGGGGCAGGTGGTGGTCCTGAATTTAAAGTGTTTTCATATTATCTTTGTGTAATGAAGTGCAACAAAAAAATGTGTATTGCTTGCAAAATGTGTGCCATGTAAAATTGTTTATTAGTATTTGGTAAATTGTTGTAATGTTATAAAATATTTTGTTATCAAAATCATGCAAGTAGTGTGCAGTAATTCGGCAGTAGGTTTGAGTTAACAAAACTTATATATTTAGAGAAATATTTGTAATGGCATTTGATATGCAAAGTTAGCATGCATTTTTTCAATATGCGTATATAAAAGAAGTTACGTTTTTTTTACGAGTAATTCTTAAAAATATTTTTGTAAGATTAAATTAACTAACCATAACTTGGTTTAGGCGCTGGTGGAGGTGGCAAGTAACTCGGTTTTGGGGCTGGCGGCGGAGGTCCATAACTGCCCTTTGGTGGTGCTGGTGGTGGTCCGTAGCTTTGCTTTGGAGCTCTAGGAGGCGGGCCATAACTTTGCTTCGGAGGTTGTGGTGGCGGGCCGTAGCTTGGTTTAGGAGCCGGCGGAGGTCCGTAACTAGGTTTTGGTGCCGGTGGTGGTCCATAACTAGGTTTAGGTGCTGGAGGGGGTCCATAACTAGGCTTTGGTGCCGGTGGGGGCCCATAACTAGGTTTAGGTGCTGGCGGAGGTCCGTAACTAGGTTTTGGTGCTGGTGGTGGGGGTCCATAACTAGGTTTTGGCGCCGATGGTGGTGGTCCGTAGCTAGGTTTTGGAGCAGGTGGTGGACCGTAGCTTGCTTTTGGTGGTGGACCATAACTTGGTTTAGGTGCTGGTGGAGGTCCATAACTGGGTTTTGGTGCTGGTGGGGGAGGTCCATAGCTAGGTTTTGGTACTGGAGGTGGTCCGTAGCTGGGCTTCGGGGCAGGTGGTGGACCGTAACTTGCTTTTGGTGGCGATGGTGGAGGACCATAACTGGGCTTTGGTGCAGGTGGTGGTCCGTAACTTGGTTTTGGAGCTGGCGGCGGACCATAACTTGGTGATGGTGGAGGACCTTAAAAAGATGTTTTTATCGATTAGGAAACTGTTGTTCGTTAAACATGAAACTAAATACAAACCGTAGCTTGGTGATGGTTTCTGGGGTGGAGGAGGACCATAACTTGAAGATGGTGGTGGGGACGGTGGCGGGCCATAGCTCGTTGATGGACCTGAACAAAATTTTCATAATTATATCTTCTTAGAAGAAATATTTAGGTTAGGAGAAAATAGTAAGAACGTACCTTTTGAAACTCTTGTTGAATAACCACCTCCAGATGGTACAGGAGCAGGTCCAGACGGAACACCATAACTGGTTGACGGTGGTTGCACCGGTCCAGACGGAGGTGGTAAGTATGAATTTGGTGGAGGTCCTTGTTGAGCAGGTGGCAAATAACTGTTCGATGGAAGAGGTGCTAAAACACACATGAAAATATTGCTAAAGTATGACAAATTTTTTTTTAAGTTAATAAGAATTTTTACCGTCCCGTTTTTTCGATTTGGCACCCTCAATACGATGACTGCATAAGTTTACTAGTAAACTTAGAAGTAAAAGCCTCCACATTGAGTTCATTTTAATAAAAATGAAACTATAAAAGAAAAAAATTGGAATAAAAAATAGGAAGTGACTTTATATTGTGTGTTTATTGTATAACTATGATCGTTCCGTTTTAAAGTGCATCGAATCAATTTATCGTTATTAGAGCAACTTAAATTATCTAATTTTCTTTTTTACAGAATGTTCAAGGGGGCAATTTATGTAACCGCATACCTGGCTTATATAAGGCAAATACACAATATATGCATAAAATATGTACCTTTGTACATATTATTTATGTATACTTTTATGTATGTAACTTTTTTATTTGTATATATGTTTAATTTTTATACGGTATATAACCAATACTTGAATAGCTTGAACATGTTTGAAGTAAATACGGTATTATGAAGAAAAGTGCGAAATATTCAGTGTGTTCAATAGTTTCAAGGTTTTCAAATCTAAATTTCAACAAGTTTCAATACTACAAATATGTTTTTTGTTTTGATTTCCTGCAGTTTAACAATTTAAAATGCTTTTTGTATCACATTTCCTCGTTCTTTTAAAAAAAAAAAATACGTTTTATTAAATAAAATTTGCCAAATTTTACTACTTACTCGTATGTGGAAATCGAAGTCAATTAAATAATGTTGATGAAGCATACAGATTTTTAATAATTAAAATTAAAAAATATAAATGAGCGTAGGTGTAAGATATTTTAACTAAATTTGTAATCAAATGACGTTTTATACTTCAAAAATGTATTAAAAAAATATATTTTTGAATGTTCCTCCACCTATCGGTTCATTCCAATAGATAGACCCAATTTTACTTTTATTACACAGGTTTCCGATCTACTTTGCATGATCACATTTGACAATACTTTCAATTTGCTATTATTTTCGAACAGATGGAGACGGATTTTCGACAGATTAAGACGCGTTAATGCGATTAAAATGGCACGTTGTATTGTAGCAATAGAAATTTTATAAAATTCACGAATGCTTTGCATTTCATAAATTATTATGAATAGTGTTTAGTTTTAATAACTAAAATTTGCGAATAAAAATCAAGGAAATTTAAAATACGGAATAAGCTCAAATAATATTGACATTTAAACGAATGATTTTTTGTGTAATATCTACGTAATGCGAATTTATTTGTATATTTGATTGATTACAATAAATTTAAATTACCAATAATTCGATTACAATATAATATAAAAAGCGAAACCTTTAATACTGCACATAGCATTGAGAAAAACTATGCATTTCCACTACCAGTAACACTAAAATGAATATGCATAAAAAATGATATTGCATTTCCTAGAAATAGCCACGTTACTATTCGGTCATAAATCTTAACATTTTCATTTTCATTGTTAAAACAATTTTACGCATCATCAGGTAGGCAGTATAGAGTTGCCGCATGTTTTTGTTTTCTTTTTTTATTTTTTTTTATTGATCTTTAAAAGTGCATAATGAACAAATTTTAAATGCTTTTATTTACATTTTTGTTTTCGCTTTCAAGTACATTTACAATTTTCACTTTTTATTACAGCATAGCGGTTACGTTGTGGTATACAATAGTTGCATCTTCTTTTCTTTTATTTACAAATATTATACGGTATACAATGTTAGATTTTGGCGGAATAAGATTAGTGTACAAATATAAATTTTTCGCTATTTAAATACAATTTTTCGCAATAGATGAAAAATTGAAAGTTTAAAAAAGAAAAAATAAATGATGTTTTGAAGGTGTTTGCAAGGTGATTATGTAGCTTAAGTTCACTAGAGTTATGTATGAAATAATAATAATAATTATTAATTGCTTGTCTAATAAAGTGTCAGTCAGTATTTTGTCGCCATTGTCATCATACTTTATATAAGATTAGCCTATTGTTTTGACTTTACTTTTTCATATACTTTTCTACTCTTAAAATATTTTCAATTTCATGGTTTATTACCATCTTATCTTCATTATGAATAAATTTGTATATTGAAAGTGTATATAAAGGTGTAAAAAATTACTTCTTAATCTTTTACAACTTCCTTTTTTTCTTCTTTTCTTAAATTTTCATTTTACTTGAGAAAAGGGGAAGGAAAATTGGAATGATATGATGATATAAGCTATATATGGGTACGGTGTAAAATTATGTTGCTAATTAACTTATATTGTGTGGCGTCGACTTGAATTATGTTTTATTAATAATTTCTGCGTATATTGTATAATATTTTTGGATGAAAAAATATTGGATACATGTTTGAGTAATTTTCTCGATTAAGCATTCTTTACTGCACACTTATATGTTTAAATTAATTTCTTTAATTTAAAAGTTAGTAGTTCGACTGCCATATCCAATAGAGTTGTTCTCTAATTAGTGTAACTTATTGAATTTGATTTGAATCTTTCTTTCTTTGCTTTAGAAACAATAGAAATTATTAAAATAAGTCGAAAATTTAGGAATTATAATTTTCAATCCTATTATTATGATGCTTTCCCTTATTAATCGAGAAATAGAAATTTTTCGATCATTCGATGTTAGAGCATATGTGCATTTTTACTAATTCATATAATAGATAATAATTAGAAATTATGGAATAATTATGGAAATTATGTACTTATTTTGTAGGTTAATGTAATAAAACTATATAAGCACATAACAATGAAGTGACAATTTAAAATTTAAGAGACCAAACGTATGTATCAATTGTGAGTAAAAATGTTCATAAATAAGAAGATGTAAAATTTTAAATTACTTATTTGATTATTATTTTTTGCTAATTCACGCAGATATACTGAAATTTTATATAATATGTTATAAAATATTTTTTTATTTGAAAAATTGTATTTTACAAAGGATGGCGTACAAATAATTGCTTTACGTGACAAAACATTTTTTTGCCTATTTATTGAATAACATAATAATTTTCTGGCATAAAAAGTTTTAAATGTGGGAGAAAGTACGACAATTATTTTGTTATTAAAATTGGTGTTGATTTCATCGAATTTGTTTTTAATGATTATTCGTATATCGCGAGAGGTATTTGCAGTAAAACTGATATTTAAACAAATTCAATCTCACTTCAATTCGGGCTACAAATGTATCGCTAACTATGTGAATCTCTAAACACAATTAAAATAGGAAAATATTTTTAATTGTACAATTTATTTTGTCATATTTCTTTCATTTACAAAAATTTTTAAAAATTTAAATAAAATTAAATTCCAAAAGAATAAAAACTATAGCGAAATTGTTACATTTTTCGAAGCTGCCGTCAAAACTTTTAAGCATTTTGTATTAAGTGATGATTTATGTACAATTCTATTAAACAACCTTGAGCATTAGAATTGGCAATATCTTTCAGTTTGAATTTTTTTTAATAAAAAAAAAATGTTTCATGAAATCTTTATTAATGTTGCTCAAAACGATTCTCATAAATTTTGGTTGGAAGCTGTAGATTTTATTAAAAATAATATTTTTTTGTCTTGTAATCGAGTTCATGTTAAAATGAATTTGTTATTCTCTGTGGGGACCGTTTTTTTTTTATTACAATTTTCCTATTTAAGAATAACAACAAAAGAAGTAAAAAAAATTGGAATTCATCTGTATTGATTAAATTTTGTACAAACATCGTAAAAAATATAATTTTGAGAGCAAAAAAAATTTTACAATCTCACATCTTTTTTGAAATATACATGTACTTAATATACATGTAAAATTATATACAGTAATATACAAAATACCAATTTTGTCTACATTTTTTTAATAATATTGTATTTTATAGTAAAGGTTTCAATTTTAATTCATAGATTTAAAATTTGTTTTAGATTTAATTCTTGAACCTGGCATGAGGCAAGTGTACACAAAAATGCGATAAAATTCAAAATGGTTATTATTCTTAATTTTTCCAAAAGTGTTTCAGAATCTTATTAAAAATGTTTTAAGTTTCAACAATTATTAAGCAAACAATAATATTTCTCCTAGAAATTAGTAGGGCGAATTAGTAGGTTATTACTTAATGGAATCTTAACTATACTACAACGATGCTAAATGAAATGCTCCTTTATATGAAAATCTTGTTATCTAATAATTAAAACTGATATTTAATATCAATATTTTTCCAATATTTACCATAATACACTTTGAGTATTATGATAAGTTTAAAAATGTTATAAAATAAATTTAAAACAAAAGAGACACTTAAACTAAGAAAAAGTAAGAGGAAAGCACTAATTCAATACGACAAAATAAATCAGTATATAAGCAGCAGATTCAAATAGCATTGCAAATTCTATAGCATCTATGTAGCATTTATATAGTATAAGTTTGAATTTTAAATAACCTTCCTAATTGTATTCAATGCGGTCGATCTTAGTGAAGAAAATGATATGGAGGATAAAATAAGCCATGAATATTGGATTTTTTGGTAAAACTTTAAAATTTATTCCATTTTCAGTATAAAAACCTTTTCAATCAAATCGTTTGTAATTTTTATAATGGGAAATTATTTTTATAATATTATGTGTACCATACGCCGAGATTTTTGAATTGAATAAGAATTTGAGTTTTTTAAAACAAAAAAAAAGGCATTGCAGATAAATATAGGTAGCTCTGCTTTTTTATTTTTATTCATCAATTTTAAGTAACTCACTCATTCTACTATTCTTTATTTATATTTATGATGGCAATATAATTGTATTTTATTTAGTACAATTCTTTTATTCAGTTAAATTTAGTTAATTAATTGCATGTATTCGAGAAGAATCATTAAATAAATTCTTTTTATATCTGACATTAATTCTGACAATGCAACAGAATACAATTGGCATCACTATTTTTTATTAGATGAAGAAACGATAAGTGTTCACTTTTGAAAATTCGCTAACAAAGCTCACATTCGAAATGTTAATGAAAGCACATACCCGTATACCAAATTAACGGAAAGTTTCACAAATTTAGTTTTTATATCCAAAAATCTTTTTACGATTTTGTGTTGTTTTCATTTATGTATGTATGTATATCATGAATATTAAAAATAATAAAAATGGAAGTTTATTTTTAAATAAATTTGATTGAATAAAGTTAAAAAATAAAAAAAGTAATAGAGCATTAATATATCCATTTAAAATAAACGAATTTCAATAATTTCAGTTTAATTTTAATGAAGAACAACACCATTTTTGTGTAAGTTTTATAATTACATATAAAAAAGAGGAAATAAAATCACGGATAAAAAAAATCAAGTGAATTGTTGAATAATATTTGGAACATAATTGTAGCAAGAATGAAAATTATTTCCCCTTATTCGTATAACAAGATTCCCACGTGATATGTAAACAATAATTATTGCTTAAAAGTAATCAAGTACATCTGAAGAATAACCATGAGGAAATGGTACTTGAACAGTTTAGTCAATTTCTTACATTATTACCACTTAAATAATCAAATTTTGCAACTTTCCTCTTCTATTTGCATATTTAAGGAAAACTTGTGCTTTTTGTTTTTTGGCTTCACTCACTATTGATTTGGGAATTTTCCGCTAAAATTCATTTATTTCAATAGAAATTTTCTTACTGAATTTTTTATTAGAATACCGGTTATTAAAATGGGTCAATTACTTTGTTGGCTAACTGTTTTGGTAAAAAAAAAGAATGTAGCATTTTAATTTAAAATGAGAATTATAACATTTAAAATTAATAAAAATCGATACATCCATTACCATAAAAGGTTTTATAACGCTTGATGATAGTAAATTTAAAGCTTAAGTAAGTGCACTTTCAAAAACTTTTTAGCCTTTTCAAAAACTATTTATTTGAAGCTCTTCCATTGACACGGAAGTTATAAGAAAAAAAAATTAGATGTGCTAACGATATTTTCTTAAGTTGCCGAATCTCAAAAACATTTGAGATTCGGCAACCATTCTTCAAAAATATTTAGCTATTTTCGATCCCCATGTATATTATTGTGCTTCTTGCTGAAACATATATCCAACGTGTTAATTAAGCAAAAAAAAAAGCAAAAGGTAGCAATTTTTTGACTTTTACTGTCAAAAAATATGCTCATAAATTTCACTTGTGCTTATTTAATTTCATGTTTTTTGGAAATTCTACGACAAATATGTACTTAAAGTGACCAGATTTTGGACAAGGAAAAACCTAACTATTTTAAAATGTGATTATAAAAAAAGGACAAAAGAGGAATACAAAAGTATGACAAGCTTAAAAAGAATATTTTATTCCAATTTTTTTTAATTGACTTTCTAGTAAACGCACGGTTTGTTACAATAAAATAAAAAATATAAAACGTACGTGATATAAAGAAAGAGATTATAAATAAAAATTGACTGACGAATAAAAATTAAGTTTTTACCCTCTTAGAGCTTAAATCATAGAAACCATAAATTCTGTAATATAGCTGTCAAAGAAAGACTTAAAGGCTTATAAGAGGCTGAATAAGAAAACAAGTGAGAGTTTAAGAAATGTTTGATAATAATGGGACAGTGTGCTAACGGAGTGCGAGTGGTCACTTTAATCTACTTCAATAAACTACCATGCGATTGTGAGAAAAAATGCTAATGCATAAAAATGGTAATTTAAATGTAATACTACTTTTATAGCATCTTAAATTATATTTTTTGGTCTATTTTACACAACAATTATTGTTATTGTACTATTTTGAGAAAAAATTGTTAATTTTTACTTTTATTATTTCAATTTCCATTAACGCACATGAATTAAGTAGAAAAATTAAATAACTTTATGCTTATGCACATTGGTGTTGAGTTTTCCATGTACATATACAGTTATGAATAATATGGTGTTACCATAATTTTTAATTATAAGTAAATTTCCCTTTAAATTTTTTTCTTTTATTTTATTTTTGTTTTTTTGTTATATAAAAGTAATACAAATGTTTGGATTTGTATCTTTATGATGTTTTAAGAAAAAATTAACATAATAATTATGTTTAGAGGTGCCTGTAAGTACAATATCATTTAACTATGAACCAGAAAAAATGAAAAAATTAAATATGTAATTAAATTTGTTAAATAATATTTTAAAATTTGTTTTTGCCTTGCTTTGCGGCTCATTTTTTAAATAAATTTGTAATGCCATTAATTATGGTAATAATCGCATTTTGGAAAAGTGAATCCTCTTCTTATTTAATAATGATGCAATCACAGTATTTTGTCCTTGAAAATATGTTAAATACTATAATATTTAGTTCATTAAAATGTTTGATTTTTTTTAGTTATACTTTGAATAAATAAAATATGAATTATAAAATTTACAAGTGACCTTAAATAATTAATGTTGAAAGAATAATTTTATTTTATTTTGAAAGCAATTAGGTTAGGCTTTTATTAAAAATGAATTTTATAATTTGTTTGCTTGCTTAATATTTCTAATTATTTTATTTATGTAATTTGAAAAAAAAATGAATTTATTAAGTAATTATTTTTGTTGCGCTTTAAGTAGCACATCAACATGAGAATATAGATGAACCAATACGAGCCAATTAAGTGTTTTCAAAAATTTTCATTTAATTCTTACAATGTTCGGATATAATTGAAGTAAATTTTAAAATAATTATTGGATTATTTTGTTTGGTTAATTATGGGAAGAATTTAATTTAAAAATAACAATTTGGTCAATTTTGCCTTAATTTCATAAGCTCGGTATTATGGTCTAAGCCGTGATACGAGAATGTAAAATTAAATTGAGATTTGATTAAAATTTTTTTTAAATTAAAAAATTTGTTTTATGAATCAAAATTTAAATTTTTATTTTAAATATATTGATTTTTTATAATAATTTAAAATTTAAAGAATAGTTCTTCAGCATAAGATCGGAGATGAGCTGTAAAATATCATAATATTATTTGCTTCATATGAAAATCTGCAAATTTCTCGATCATAAATCAATAGAAGAGTCAGTTGCATAAAAATTCAGAACTTCAATTTATAATGTAATTGCAATACTTTGATTTAAAATTGTATATTTAAGGGCTAAGGCTAAAAGGTTTATGATTTTACTAAAATTTTCGTTTTGAAAATGTTAAGCAAATGAAACTTAAATAATTGGTGAAGATAATCGTATGATTATTTATAATAAAAAAATTACTATGTGGGGTCTCATAAATTTAGGGTTTACTAATAATACCATAAGATTTAATATTTACTGTTTAAATTAGAATTTTTTCATATTTTCCTTGTTAATGAATAGGCAATAATTTGTACCACCTTTGTGGTTTTGTAACTATTACGAAAATTTTATAATTATTTTAATTTTTTCCTTTTCATATTACAAGATTGCGTTTTTGATTTAAGAGTTTTATATGAAAAATATGTTTTTGGGAGTCTTTAATCAATTAGCTATTTGGAACTTTATATTATATATGAAGTTATATAATATAATTTTATATTAAATAACTTCATATTATAATATAATAATTATATTATATAATTATAATTATATAGCATGATTAATTATGCAATAAGTAATGTATAAGAACTAAAATTTAGTTAACACGCTAAATTATTTGAAATTTTGTAAAATAATTAATATTATTTAAAAATTCATCATTTGGGGTGATGGTGTATTATTCAAAAATTTTGTAATTTTCAGAATAAAATCAATTTTAGATTTTTTTAAAATTCTATGCTGAAAACTTTAGTTCTTTTGAATAGTACTCAAATCCAATAATCTCAAGCGAATCCCCTAAAAAATCCTGTATAGAACGATGTTCAATAATCGGAATATTAGATCATTGTTCAAATATTATTTACTTTTGTTACAATAAATATTATCATTTTCTTCTTTCTATAAGATAATATAATGATTTATTTTATTTATATGTATATGTGTGTATTGCAGTTGTATATTTAGAGTTTCTTCATCACTTCACTTTTGAATTTTATGAATTATCCTGTTGGTCTTACACTATAGAATACTTATACATTTTCATTACACTTTAATATTTTTCTTATTCCAAAATTTACTAACCAATTGGTGAAGATAATTTGTATTATATAGCAGGATTTATACCGGTCTATAAATGTTCTTTAATTCCGTTCTTTACCGTTAATTAAAATTTCTTATTCCGAGTTAAAAAAAAACTGTCTTTTTTTTCGTTTTTTTTTTTTTGCTGATTATGACGGAAAATTAAAGTATCCCGAAGGAGATTACACCGTAAACTGGTATGTTAATTTTGCAATTTTCTGTTTTTATACCAAAATATTAAAAAAGAAGAAAAAAAGTAACAACTATAACATAAATTAAATTTTTTAACATTATTTCTCTGTTTTTTTGTTTGCTTCTTTAAAAAAAAACATTCAAGTAAACAAATAAGAAGACAGAAGATGGATAATTACTGCAGAAATATTGTTAATTCAAAACTATGTAGGTATGTTTATACAAATGTACACATGTATGTTATGTATGAAAATGTGGTAAGACAAAAATGAAAAAAAAAGAAAAAAACTTTACGAAGCCATAACAAAAACATTTTTCTTTTGTTACAATTCCAAAAAAGTGTGCTCTCCTTGTAATCACATAGTAAAGATGTACCCAATTTTCCGAAAATATTAGTGCAAAAATAAATTTGAAAACGCATAAAGCAACTGATTTTGTTGTTGTTGTTTTTCTTTAATTGTTTTTTTATATTTCAACACTCTTCATTCAATTCATACAATAAAACTTTGAATTGCTTTTTTTTTAGTTTTTCTTTTTACTACATGGTAAGCAGTAAACAGTGCAAGAAATGCTCAAAAATTTTGTTCTTTATTGCAAGTCAATCTCTCACTCACAAGAAAATTGAATTTTCAAATTTTATTTTTAATATTAAGAACCTATTGTTCATAGAGCAACAAGTGAGACTTTTAATAATAAAAGAGTTTAAAAAATTTTGAAGAGATTTAATCAATCACCTTTTTCTTTTGATTTTTTTCATTTTAACAATTGAGGTCTCTTTCTCAAATGTATGATGTGAAATCTTCAGAAACTGGGAGAGAGAATAATAACTTACTTTAATAGTACTTTACTTACATTATTACTTGGTTAAAATTTAAGTAAGGCAAATAAAAACAAAAACGAAAGTGATCGTCGTGATTCCAACAACAATGAATATTCACCTGTATAGTTATGTATACCTTAAGTTTTCAACTTAAGTATAATACTAAAAGCTTCGTATACAAATAGAGTGTGTACATCAATTGTTATTATAGTTGTTGTGTGTATGTACATACTTACATATTTCTATATTATAGGAAGATCACGCTGGTGATCTTGTAATTCGTTAAGTTTTATCGCTCTTATATTTTGTTATTATTATATAATATACAAAATTATGCCGTTAAGGTTAATTTACCGTTCACTTTATTATTGTAAATGCATTTGGTAATAATAAATGTCATCATGTGTTTAGTTGTTTTTTTTGTTTTTGTAATTATTTGTGCCTTTTTATAACGGCAATCTCATAGATTCATATATAAAAAGAGTATTTTATTTAATTATTATTTAAGTTGATTATTAATAAGTTTTTAAAACTCGTTAAACTAAATTTAATTATGTTTAAACTAATTATGATATTTAAACAATATAAATAATTTGGTGTAGTTTTTTTAACTAATTTTTTCCATTTTGCTTATATGTTCATATGTGATAAAAAGTGAAAATTTCCCTTGCTAAAAAAGAGTTATTCAAATAAAATTATCATTAATCATTGGTCTTCTTGTGATGAAAAAATGAATGGAATTTCAAACTTGTAGAATTTTTTAAAGTTGCTATACACAATAACTTAACCTAGAATGATTTGACATTGGTAATTTTATATTTTGGTAAAACAACCATTTTGTCAACACAGTTAAAGCACTGTTTTATATGTAAGCAAAAAGAGACTGAAATTTAAATTTGCTATTTAATGTTAAGATTAAATTTAATTTGCAAGTTAAACTAACATTGTTTTTTTGAAATTTATATTTAAATTAAGTTTTTGTACAATGTAGTTAAAGATCTATATATGTTAAATGTAGAAATAATATTATGTTTTAACTATAGAATTTATTTTAGCGTATGAATTGGATTTTGCTCAGCCAATTTCAAGATAACATGTTTTTCTGCTGTATAACAAGACAAAGACAAAATATAACAGATATTCAATTTATAACTAACAAAGAGATCAAAAAAATTATTTCACTTACTCATTTACATTCAACTTTAATTAATAACTTCGTTGCAACCAAAAATATTCATTAATATCAATTTTAAAAAAAATTAATTTTTATTTCAATGTTATTTTGATTAACTTGCCAAAGACTGAAATATTAATTTTACAATTTTTTTTAACATTAATTATTTATGAAAATATTAAAACATCACTTGTGTATTATATCGTGTACGAGATCCGATAAGTACATATCATTTTTTTCATATAGCAAATTCACTTTAAACCGGAAGTTTCTAAAAAAATTTGTAAATCACTTAAGTTTATTGATGAAATGTATTTATATTATACATATAAGTATATATGTTTGTCCACGCAATTTGATTTTCAAGCACAATGAATGTGAAAAACGTTTTAAAATCAGTCATACACTTTCCATATAAAGTAAATTCCAAAAATTCCCATTTTCATAAATTTTCATTGTCAATTTAATTATCATGAAAATCGGTAAATCTAAAGATTGATTGATTTTTATTTTTTATTTTACCTTATGTATTTGCTCATTCTATTTTTTTGATGTTAAAATAAGTAATAATCGAATTGGATCGAAGATTATTTTGTAATATGAATTTTTATGAATTTATTTTTTTATGTTTTTCTATTTGTGTTCAATCTTTATTGAAGACGAATTTCCCAATTTTGGATAATAAGTTGACATTGTAATGACGCTATATATATTTCAAATAATATAACCAAACTAATTAAAAAAAATACAAGACAATATTTGAGATTATTGAGAAAAACAATCTTTAAAATAAAAAATACACACATGCAATTCATTTGATTTTGTTTTCCAATTTAAATAAATTCAAATTAAATCGATAGCTCTTAAAGTAGCACACTTCCTTAAAAAGCTTAAAATACTACATAAATATTTGAAATTATTTTGCTATTGTATAACTGTAGATGAATAAAAAAATTTAAATAATACTCAAATTAGACGGCTAAATAAATTAAATCTTGTTCTTCAAAATGCATGATGCATTGAACTTGAAAATAATGAACTTTTAATGTATTATTTAACTTTCATACTTCTGCTACTTTTTGGACATTTACTTAACTTTTGCCTACTTTTAGGGTATCATTTCAACATAAGGTTAATTCGAAGGGCTTTTTTGGCAAGCAATAATTTTCTTTTACTAAACTTTTTTACATTAGAAGAAGGAAGATTTCTGTAACATTTTCATAATTGCAATATATAAACGTTTTATAAAGGCGACGCGTAAATAACTACCGAAAAAGGAAATCTTTTGGGATCTAGGGGTTATAACAATGAGTTTTATTTTAAAAAAATCTGTTTGTTGTTCAAGTTACAAGGACAGAGAAACAGGCAGACTCTATAAATTTTATAATCGTAGTGTCTTTTTAAAAAAATTTATATTGGAAGGTATTTTTCGTCTTTTTAGTAGGTTTATCGTCTACAATACTAAATACATTCAATTAAAATAAAGATGTGCTAAAAATTAATAATAAATTTTGATCAAACTAAATGAATTATGCTATTTTTCAAATCAATCGCCCCTTTACCAGTTGAAAATAATCTGCTTTTTAAATATTTCTCAGTAGCTATTTTATGTTATACTAAAACGGTTTTATAAAATAAAAAATAATTGCATACGTTCTGGAGAAAGTACAAATATTAAAAAACATATTAATAATAATGGCCGAATTTGACGACTATTAAGTGTGGCATATTTATTGTTGGAAAGATAATTACTGTTAGCTTTTTGCTCTTGTATAAATTTCGAAGGGGTTACCGTTTTGGAAATATAAGGTGCCGAAAATTGTAATCTTACTAATTTTGAGAGTCGAGAACTTGGAAGTAAAAAAAAATTTATTCTATCAAGTATAGAAGCTGCTAAAATTTCAGACTTCTACTATTTGCTTTAATAAGAGAAAAACTATATCAGAAATGTGATAGTATGGCTTTGAAATAACGGATTCTTTTCAATTTAACGGAGGTCCTAGTTAAGGAGATAGATGGGAAAAACTTTTTTTAGTGAAAATAGTTTACAGTAAAATTTTATTTTTATCTAAAATACGAGTATCATTTTTCCATTTCAAAGAGTGCAGAAGCTTTGTTATTCAATTTCATTTCAAAAATATTAGACCAGCCAATAGTGGATTCGTTTTATAATTTGACATTTGCTTAAAATTTTAAAAAATTGGTTTCCTCATTAAGTTTAGAAAAACTAATTAGGTCTATTGTAAATAAAATATATCCGCCTCTTGTAAAAGATTTTCATTAAAGCCATCTATGTCTGTAACTATGTCATCTATTCTTTTGTTCAAGAAGGCGTAGTTGAGCGGAAATCGATGTAGTTAGGACGAAAAGATGTTGTTAATGGAAAGCAAACAATATTAATGTCCAATATGGAATCGGATATTCTGCTTACTCTCCACTACCTTGTATTTTTGTGGTGACATAAATAAAATATGTTATATTTTTACAACCCAGAAACAATAAATTTGAAAGATATGCCCTTTCTTTCGCAGAAGTATACCCATAATTTAATATTTTTTTATTTTTATAATTAATAGTGATTAAAAGTAATTAAATACCAATGGAATATTTATTAAAATAAAAAGCTTTACATAATACAATAAAATATGAAATTCAGGAATTTTACTCTCTTAAATTGTGCATATTTTCAACTTCAAAGAAGTCATGAAATTTTTAGTATTTTTTATTTACTAAATTTGGTTCAAAACTTTTGTTTTCAATAGAACTTCAATATTGTTGAATTGTTGAAAAATTTTTTAATAACTCTTCAATTATCGCTCTAAAATGAAATAAAACTCTTCATTTTAAGACTCTTTATGCTTCACAACAAAGTGCTGATGGAGATTTTGCTCTTCTATTTTTCTTCAATTTCTCATCCAAAAAAAACTTTAAGCTTGGGAAAATCTTAACTTTTTTTTTGTTTTAATGTTTAAAATCTAAAGACATT